GCCACGAGAAGAAACTCAGCTATACATACCTTACTGCATGTTCCATGAACATAAACTACAGCCTCCAAAAAATACCCTCAAGTTCATTTGCCAACCCTGACAGTCTTAAAAAAGAAAAAAAACCACCAAACATTTAAACCTCTTCAGACCTGAATTTTCTTAAGGGACTATTCTCTTTGTATTGTGTCATTCCTGTCCGCTCCCTTAAGATGTAATTAAAGTGTTGACATTACAAAGAAGGTGTGCACAAGAAAAATGGGGCATCATTGAAGAAAATGGCTCTTCTTACTGTAAGGCATTTGCCATTTTCCACTTCAGCCCTGTTCTGCACTGATGTGAAACTGTATTAGGTAATCTGAGAGGCTCTGTGTGCCTTGATTCATACGTACAGAAATTTTTAAGAACCCAGACATTAATGCTTACAGGCAGGAAAACTAAACTACAGGAGGTAGTGACATCTTTGTTAGACGTCATGGGAATGTATGTGACCTTTGTTTTATAACAACAAAAGAAAGATTTTGGATGTTTAAACTGAATACTTTTGTCTCCAGTCACATAAGGAAAAAGATCTTATCAGCATTTTCCCTTTCTTGGTGGCTTTAGGGCATAAGAAAATGTCATCACTGTATCACAACAGTGGGTGTTTGTTTATAGAAGGAATACAAATGGGAATAAATAATGGGGTAAGCAAACCATCCAGCTATGCTGAATTCACATTGCATAAACTTTATGTATGCAACTGCTGTGTGTGCATTCTTTTGCAGTGTACCAAATCAAGTACAGGAGTAATTTAAGATGACAATGTCCAACAAATTAGAGTAGATACAGTGACAGTAACAAACTAGACAATATAAGGACAATTCTTAGTGGTCCACAGATTTGTAACAATTGAAATTGACAATCTTTTTAAAGGGAAAAGGAATCAGTGACAGATCTATCCCTGCTTGTTTAGCTCGTTCTCCGTTTTATTCTAGTGTAGGGGTCGATGTTGTCGTCGAACACAAATCTATCCCTGCTTGCTTAGCTTGTACTCCCGTTTTATTCTGGAATAGGGGTCGATGTTGTTGTCGAACACAAATCTATCCCTGCTTGCTTAGCTTGTACTCCCGTTTTATTCTGGAATAGGGGCCGATGTTGTCATCGAACACAAAGTCCCATAATACCCGGGTCCAGGAAGTGTGTTGAGGCAGGGAGTCGTAATATTCTGCTGCAATTTCCTTGACCTGCCAACAATAATAAAAAAAAAACAAAAGTGAGAATAAAGGGCTTAGAAAGTAACCATTTGGAATTGCATGTTTTTCTGCATTATTTGGTCATAAAATGTGATCTGATCATCTAAATCACAACTGTAGATAATGTGCTCAAGGTAATACCACACAATTTTTCATGTCATTTTTGAACACCCACTAAACATTCAAAGTGCTGGTGGAAAAAGTAAGCGAACCCTTGGATTTATTAACCGATTGAAGCTCCTTTGGCAGCAGGTAGGTAGCTAGGCAATAATGTCAAACAACAATGAAGTACAGTGAAGGGAGGATCATGATGTGGTGCTGCATTGCTGCCTCTGGGTCTGGACAGCTTGCCATCGTGGAAGGGAAACTAATTTTCCAAGTTTATCAAGGAATCCTACAGGATAATGTCAGGATGGATGTCCGCAAGCTGAAGCTCAGTAGAAGTTGGGTGATGCAGCAGGCCAGTGGCCCTAAACATCCAAATAAATCTATTACAGACTGGCTTTAAAAACAAGAAAATCTGCCATTTGGAGTGTCCCAGTCAGAGCCCACACGACGACCCAACAGAGATGCTGTGGAAAGACCCTTCACACCAGACACCCTAGGAATATGGCTGAGCTGAAGCAGTTCTGTGAGGAGGAATGGTCCACACTTCCTCCTGAACATTGTGCAGGTCTGATACACAGCTACAGGAAGTGCTTGTTTGGTGTTACTGCTGCCAAAAGGTGGTTCAACCAGTTATTAAATCCAATGATTAACTTAATTTTTCCAGCAGTGCTTTGAATGTTTAATGGATGTGTTCAATAAAGACATGAAACATTTTAAATGTTTGTGTGGTAATACCATTGTGTTTAACATTTGTGACTGAGATGAAGATCGGAACACATGTTACGATCAAATAACACCAGGTAATTCCAAACGATTCACCTACTTTTTCTTGCCAATGCTGATAGAAGAACACACTGCATGGTAAAAAATCAAAGACCTACTACTTTTGGTCAGAATAGCACTGGGTACAAAATAGCATTTTATTTCTATTCCAAAGGGATGTCTAAAAACTAACCCTAAAATGTATCACTTGGTAGCTGACAAACAAATTGTAGTACCTAAAAACATGGCAAGACACTTTTTTTTTTTTTTTGGTCTTAATAAAGGTACATTTGTTAGTGTTTTTCAGTTGTCATGACAGGCATCTCATCATGTGTCAGGTGCTAGAGAGGCAGCAGTTAATAATTTACAAAACCTGCCTTTTCATATGATAGCTGAAGTGACGTGTGGTATTTGCCGATGCCTTTTTGTTTAGATTGTGAGAGGCCCTGTTATCTGTCCACACCTGGTGTAACTGTCCTCATTTTGTACCATTCTGCTAATACTAGTCTCAAAATCCAGAGTTTACCTGTTGGAAATTTAGGCATAATTTTTCACAGTAGCACATTCTCACCTGAGGTAGTTTACTGCCAGGTATACTGGGGAAGTCATGGTGCTCCATGTGATAGCCGACGTTGAAGGTGATCCAGTTCAGTGGTCCATAGTAAGAATACGTCTCATGTCCCTTCATGAACATGTAATGCTCGGCTATAAAATGTCCAGAGATAGGATGCAGCCCCATACAGAGAACAGAACCTGCAATAAGGTAGATGATGGGCTTCAGTCCCCACAGATAGTAAATAATTAAGTCTGCTGTGAGTTGAACTACTGCATTCTGGATCTCCAGCTGACAAACTGGTTTAGGATTGACCACCAATGGGCGCAGGGCATAGAAAAAGGGCTGGAGGAAGAGCCAGAGGACCTTCCTGGCTGGGGTGCAGAAGAACCATCCCTCAAAATCTGTAGGGATGTCAACATCCAGCTGGTCGCCTCCCAGATACCGATGGTGGTCGATGTGATATTTCTTGAAGGACGCAGAGTAGGGCAGCCCGATGGGCAGGTTGGCCCACATGGCAAACCAGCGGTTCCACTTTGCCAGCTTGTTGCCAAAGGCCACATTGTGAGAGATGTCATGGATAGCCAGAGTCAGGGAGTGGTTAATGCAACCTCCAAAGGCGTAAGCCCAGAAGAAGATCCACTTCCAGGTGAAGTTGCGGACCAGGTAGCAGGCCAAGAGCTGGGTTAGGACCATGCCTGACACCACCCATTTTAGCTGGGGATCTGGAACCATCAGAGTCTTGATCTCTGGGTATTTGGCTGAGAAGGGAGGCATATAAGAAGGGGGATGGAAAGGGACATGATGAAAGATGAGAAAACTGGAGGAGACAAAGGAAAAAGCAAGAGCAATAAAGGATTAAAAAAAATACAAAAAAGGTAGAGTTGAAAAGTTAAAATATAAAGGGTATAAAATGACAAAAAAAGAACTGCACTAGTGCATAGGGAAAG